TATATATATATATATATATATATATGAAACGTCAATAACTTCGTTGGACACGCGAATTGACAACGAGGCGTGTCGTCAAATATTGCAAACCCGTCGCCCATCACCACAATATAAAAGTATAAAAAGGTTCACACGTGACAGCGATTGTATATTTTGAAAATGTGTAACAATAAAATCTCTATACGCAGTTACTGGTTTTTGAAATTGACAAAATATTCTCTTTTTTTTTACCAAAAATGTATCTTAACGACCTGGGCGATTCAAAAAATAATAATAATCATAAATACATTTTTTATAAAGTTGCAATTACTCATACACTCATAATACATAAGTGGCTGTAGCCCATTTCCGCCCAAGAGCAGCCCATTTGCGCCCAGAGGGTTATGGACATTTGCGCCCAAAATAAAAAACTTAACACCCTGATTTATAGCCCAAATGTGCCCATTTTGCATGCAACGTTGCCGTTGTTGTTTAAAAATATACAATTCTATGTAAAATCAAAATTAAAAAAAAGTAATAATTTTAAAAATAATGTTAAATACTAAACAGTATACATATTATATATACATATATATTATTTATATTACATTAAATTATTAATTTCAAATAGAAACATTTTTACGTAAAATCAAAATAATTAATAAATACAATTACAATAATATCACATATACATCTAAATTTTAAATAGGTATTATTAATAATCCATTAAATTAAATTTATATAGAAACAAAATAAATAATATATATTAATTGCCACTGTTGTCAGTTGTCGTTTAAGATTGTTTAAAAATATTAAATCCTACGTCAAAAATAATCAAAATTTATAATATAGGTACATTAGTCAATAATAAGGATGTTAATAACACAAAATATAATTAAATTATAATAATATTAAAATAATCATACAGTTATTATAAATTGATTCCCCGAAATTTATAAGAAATTTTTTTTAAGTATTCTATTTTATTTAAGTGTTTTCCTCTGTACTCATTCCACGCTTCATAAGTATGTTGTATTTTTTCTTTTTCTTCTTTACCCTTCTTGATTTCATTTATTTTTAGATATGATTCTACTTGTATAAGTTTTAAATTTTCAATTACACTAGTCAATGGAGGATGAGGTGAATAAAATTTGGAGTTAAAGTGCTTGTGAAATGATTCAGCTCAATTTGATGTCCGAGGTGCGTCTGTTGGAGGTTCAGCCCAAATTGATGGTGGAAATGGACATCCTTTAATGATATAGTTATTAAATACATAATCAGAAAATTCGGATAAATTTGTCAAATTGAAATCTGGAGTTAAGTTTTGTAAATCAAAATAAGCATCTTCCACTTCATTTGACGGTAAAAATGGTAACCCAAAAAATAATGTTAACCATTTAGCGATATCGCATGACTGATTCTTGAACAATTTTTTAAGATCTGACAAAGAATTTATTTTTCGGTACCAAGATTGACCTAAATGAAATCTACAGCCTCTTATTTTGCTGTCTGGAAATACATTTAGAAATGCTTTGTGTGCTGCGATTTCAAAATCTAAATGGATTGATAATGGTGTAAAATTTTTTTGTAATTTATTTGTACATAAATGGCAAATAAAGTTCCACATAGCCCGATAACATTCAAATGATTTTGATGGTAAAAATGCAATAACAAGTGGTATATAAAATCCATTTACATATACATATATTCGTATATGAATACCATACATTTGATAAAAATGTGATGGTCTATAAGTAAAAGTACCATCACCAAAAATATCAGAATAGTTGAAATCGCATAAAAAATTTAAATTCATTTTACATGTAATCAAAATAATATTATTTACATTATCAACATATGTAAACTCTTCGTTTTTATTTGTTAAAATTACTAAATTAGAAATCTGTTCAATTGCTTCGTTGAGTGATTTAGGAACTGAGGGTAATATTTTTCGACGTTCTCGGTATATAGACTTTCTGATATTATGAACATCAGAATTCTTAGCGGTGCTGCACGTGGAAAGCTCTGTACGTATTATTTTATTAGGTCCTAAAGTTAAATCTTCACACGCTTTTCTTTTACACCTACCTTGAACGTCCAGTAAGTTTAAATTTTCTTCAGTTTCCGGATCATGGGAATGGCTGTCTTTAATTTCGGTTAACTTCGTTTTTGAACTATTGGTTTTGACATACGCACTACAGGTTTTTTTTACACAACGCCAACTTATATCTCCAGAAACAAGGGTTCTACTCACGTGATATTTAAAATAACGAAAAACTAAACAAAGTTTTTGTTTACTTGAATTAGTTATATAAAATTCCATTATAGTAGTACTCACTATTCATGTACTGATGCAACTGACACATATAAAATACAACTGATAAATGCATTTTTATATAATATAATCTTTATCGATCGGGATTTTACAATTTCGATTAGCACGACTAACGACAAAATATTATTATCTTTATCGATTTTGATATTGGTTTCGATTAGATTGGGAAACGATCAAATATTATTTTAGATTTTATAGTTACACGCCAATATACTCAATAAATGGCAACGTTGCACGATTTTCACCTGATCTGAATCGGGCGCATATGGGCTATGATTTGGGGCGCAAATGGGCTACGATAAATGGGTTCGGGCGCAAATGGGTTGCGCCGACATAAGTAATATTGATTCACTAAATATTTACTACCGACTCTACACACAAAATGATTTTGTCTTATAGATAAGTATTTAATACGGTGATACATAAAGATTACATACACTTATTTTTTCTGTCTAATACTAAGATTGAAATACCCTATTAAATAAAAGTAAAAGAAAATTATAATAATCACCAAGTGTCTACGAAGCAGAGTTAATTTTAAAAGGTTTTAGCTTATCAATATATCAAGGACAAACTTAGGTAACAATAAATTGTTTTCAAAAACTAATGATTAACAAATATGTCAAACATGTAAAATGTATAGGTATATGATAATATAAAAGTATAATTGCATTCGCTCACATGTCAAAAAAAAATATTAACGATGCATAAAACCATAATTAAAGTTATTTAACATTTTAAATACTGGGCTTATGATAGATAAAAAATTAAAAACAAAAATAAAATCAACTAAAGCATTAATAAATTCATTCTTATCAAAGTTTCAGTGAATGCAAATATAAATAGTTAGTTTACACTATTCGATAATCGAATACAACACCGATTTGTTGAGAAATGTATATATAAAATTGTCACTTTTTTATGGTTAAGATAAAAAACGATTTATATTACATCTACTAAATTCGCATGCTTTTTGTAATAAAAAAAAATAGTTCTGCTGTTATGGGTGAATGGTTTTTTTTTTTTACTTTTAGCCGATATGCCCCGAGAGACCCATTGGTATTTCAAGAATGAAGAGGATTTGAATACGCATTCTAGAAAGCATAACTTATTATTACTGTTTCAAGAGGGAAAAAAACGGTTTTGATTCGAGAAAAACTACGACTTTGTTGTCGAATCTTTTGATTATAAACGTGAAATCTTGTACAATCATATTACTGAGCAATATATAAGATGACAAGGTAGAAAAATAGTAAAACAATGAAATATTTATTTTTATCCCTTTGTGCAATGTGACCCGAAGAAACTTTATTCTGAAATATCTCTCTGTATACTGACTAACGGTAAAAACAACTGCATACGACGACAACGCAGTAAATTGTACTAATATTTAACAGATGAATTTTTTCGCCATATCGGATTTACAGTATATGG